AGCTGTATTTGGAAAGCTGTCTGTCTGATTTCATAGGGCTTGCTGAAAAATTAATAGCACATACATGGGTGTTGGGAGGTTGGAAAAAGAGAATTATGGTATAGGGATCCAGTTGCAGAACTGGATAAAAATACAATTATCATTTTAAATGGATGCAGACAAATATCAAGCCAAGCTATCTATTATTATTATTATTATTATACAGTATTTATAAAGCGCCGATAGTTCACTCAGCGCTGTACATTACAAAGGGGGACAGAACATGTGACAGAACAATACCAATACAATGCAAAACATGAGGGGATCGAGGGCACAGCTCTTTCGAGCTTACAATCTAGAAGGGACGGGATAGTGGTACAGGAGGAGATAGCTGTGGGGGATGGAGTGGTAGAAAGAGTGGAGGAGGTCGGTCAAGTTAGCAAGGGGTAGGCTTCCCTGAAGAGATGGGTTTTCAGGGTGCGCCTAAAGGAGAGGAGAGTAGGTGATAATCTGATGGGTTGGGGAAGGGAGTTCCAGAGGATGGGTGACACCCTGGACAAGTCCTGGAGGCGGGCATGGGAGGAGGAGACCAGGGAACTAGAGAGAAGGAGGTCTTGTGAGGAGCAGAGTGTGCGTGCTGGGCGGTACTTGGATATTAGGTCAGTGATGAAGTTCGGGGCAGTATGGTGGACAGCTTTGTACGTCAGTGTTAGGATTTTGAATTTGATCCGTTGCGCAATCGGAAGCCAGTGGAGGGATTGGCAGAGGGAGTGGTGGAGATGGAGCGGTTGGAAAGGTGAATGAGTCTGGCAGCCGTATTCAGGATCGACTGAAGCGGGGATATCCAGCGGCAAGGCAGGCCAGTGAGGAGGGAGTTGCAGTAGTCGAGTCATGATATGATGAGGGAGTGGATGAGCTTTTTAGTGGTTTCTGGGGTTAGGAACGTGCAGATTTTGGCGATGTTGCGGAGGTGGAGTCTGCACGAGTTTGTTAGAGATTGGACTTGGGGCTGGAAGGATAGGTTGGAGTCCAGAATGACACCAAGTACTCTGGCCTGCAGGGCGGGTTTGATATTGGCGTTGTTGGATGTGATGGAGAAGTCAATGGAAGGTGGGGTTCGGGCTGGGGGGAAGACAAGAAACTCGGTTTTGGAGAGATTCAGTTTAAGGAAGTGGAGCGACATCCAATCTGATATGTCGCTCAGTAGGTGTGTGATTCGGGCAGAGACCGAGGGGGTGAGGTGGGGGGTTGAGAGATAGATTGTGTGTCGTCGGCATAGAGGTGGTAGTTGAAGCCGTGAGAGTGTATGAGTTGGCCAAGGGAGGAGGTGTAGATGGACAAGAGAAGGGCCCGAGGACGGAGCCTTGAGGGACCCCAACAGAGAGGGGGAGTGAGGGGGAGGTGGTAGCATTATAGGTAACGCTGAAAGAGCGTTGTGACAGGTAGGATGAGAACCAGGAGAGAGCAGAATCTCTGAGGCCGAGGGATTGTAGTATTTTGAGGAGGAGGGGGTGGTCAACTGTGTCGAAGGCCGCAGAGAGGTCAAGGAGTAGGAGCACTGAATAGTGGCCATTAGCTTTGGCGGTTAGAAGGTCGTTGGAGAGTTTGAGTAAGGCGGTTTCGGTGGAGTGTAGGGGACGGAAGCCAGACTGTAGGGGATCGAGGAGGTTGTTGTCGTTGAGGTGAGAGCATAGGCGGGTGTAGACGAGGCGCTCGAGGAGTTTAGATGTAAGTGGGAGCAGGGAGATGTGTCTGAGGTTGTTCGGGTCATTGGGGTCCAGGGAGGGCTTTTTAAGTATAGGGCTGATGTGTGCATGCTTCAGTGGGGAGGGGAAAGTGCCGGAGGAGAGGGAGAGATTAAAGATGTGGGTGAGGGAGCGTAGGATGGAGGGGGAGGAAGGTCGTAGGAATTGTGAGGGGATAGGGTCGAGGGGGCAGGTGGTGAGGCGGGCATCAGAGAGGATCTTGGAGACTTCCTCGATGGTAGTAAGGTCAAAGGTGTGGAGTGTTGGGGGAGCTTCAGTATGAGGAATGTAGGGTGGGGTGGAAGTGGAGGTCAGAGCAGTGGTGGGGCCGTGGGAAAGGGGTGATGAGGGGGTAGCTGAGTGAGGGGGAACGGGGTTGGAGGGAGTTTGAGCAGTGATGAAGTCCCTGCGGATAATGTCGAGGGGGAGGGGGGATGAGGGGGTAGCTGTATGAGAGGGGACGGGTTGAGAGGGCGTGTGAGTTGCGGTAATGTCCTTGCGAATTGTGTCAATCTTGTTTTTGAAGTGATTGGCAATCTCAAGGGTGGTGACTGAGGTGCTGGGTGGAGGTGGGGGTGGAGAGAGTAGAGAGTTGAAGGTGGAGAAGAGTCGGCGAGGGTTGGAGTAGAGGGTCTTGATGAGGGTCAGGAAGTAGGCTTGTTTGGCTGCGTGGAGGGAGGAGGTGTAGGTGCGGAAGGCAGATTTGTAGTGCGTGAAGGCTTGTTGGGATTTTGTTTTGCGCCATAGTCGCTCCAGGGCACGACTGCGTCGTTTGAGGGTTTTGGAGTGATCAGTCTGCCAGGGCTGGAGCGGTCGGGGTCTGATGTTGCGTGTGGTTAAAGACGCTAGTGAGTCAAGGGCTGCTGACAGAGCGTTGTTGTAGGCAGCCATAGCCAAGTCAGGGCAGGACAGGGGGAGGATGCTGTCATGGAGTTGATCAGCTGCAGAGTGGAGAGGGGCAGGGTTAAGGTTGCGGAGGTTACGGCTGGTAGTAGTGTGACATTTGGAGGGGTAGGCGTTGGAGGACGAGGAGATAGAGAAGGTAATCAGGTTGTGATCAGAGAGAGGAAAGGGGGGTGTTAGTGAGGTTGTGGGGAGCGCAGTGGTTGGAGAAGACAATATCAAGAATATTACCGTCGGAGTGCGTGGTGGATTGTATGCACTGTGCAAGTGCAAAGGAGGAGGTTAAGTGGAGGAGACGGAGACGGGCTGTGTCTGGGTTGTCGAGGTTGACAGGGATGTTGAAATCCCCAAGAATGATGGTGGGTAGCTCAGAGGAGAGGAAGAAGGGTAGCCAGGAGGAAAAGTCATCCCGGAAGCGGGGTATGGATCCAGGAGGCCGGTATATCACAGCAATCTTCAGGGGGGTTGGGGAGAATAGTCTGACGCAGTGGGACTTGAAGGAGGAGAAGGATAGGGAGGGGGGGGTTTGGGAGGACTCGGAAGGTGCTCTGCGGTGACAGGAGCAGACCAACCCCCCCACCTTTACGACCGTTAGGTCTGGGTGAGTGGGTCCAGGTGAGACCTCCATAGGAGAGTGCAGCAGGGGAGGTAGAGTACTGCACTGGTGACAGTATGTAAAAAACTTACTTTTAAAAAAACTCACCATGCCTCTCACTAAATACCTTGGACTGTCTACTTTCCAAAAAGGGGGGTATTTGTACTGTCCTGACATTTTAAGGGCCTCAAGAAATGAATTAGGCTGTCAGTATTTAAAAAAAAAAAAAAAATATATATATATATATACAATAGTTTGTAGACTCTATACCTTTCACACAGACTAAATAATATACACTGATTTTGGTTATTGTTACCAAAGAAATGTAGTAAGATACATTTTGGCCTAAATTTATGAAGAAATATTATTTATTTGCAATATTTTATTCATGAAGGCAGTAAAACCTTCTGGAGGTCAAGGTTATTTACAAATATAGACAGTAGAGGGCAGCAGATCCCTACACTAGCATCGTCATTGGCTTGCTAGATGTTGGTCAAACCAAAGAAATATGAAGTATGAGAGCACCAAGCCATATGGATTGGTCCAGATACTGTATCAATTCTATTTTCCAAAATAAAAATGGGGTCTATCAAGAATGGACAGCCAAAGTGTTTCAAGAGTTAGGTGCAAAACCCCCTTAAACAGGACTACCATTGAACCATTGAAGGTTTAAAATAAAATAGTTATATTATAGTTATACAGTTACTTTATATTCCTGAAAACACATGAAGCTTAAAATATACTTAATGTACTTTTATAAATTTAACCTACTGTAATTATGTCCTTGTCATTAATTTATTTTAATTTTTTTTAAAGAGTGCATGAATTAATATATTTATGTAATTAAGATAACCCTGTTTCTGTTATATTGTAGACTTGATAAATGGGAATTTGTACGTAAATGCATAGACCTTTTTATTGTAACAAATAAAAAATAAAAACTTGGGGACTTTGTAGAGCTGCCCCACTATGTCAATCATTTGATTTATTTGGGATCTTTACCAAGGTTGGAGTCCAAAGCTGCACAATTAAAATATTGTAATAATGTAATAAAATAGACTGTGACTGGTAAACTGCATTTAATTTGGACTGCATCTACCAGTTAAAGAAAACCTAAGCCTCCTTGGATAAGTAACTGAAAAACTGAGATTTGGCTAAGTGAATATGTTTTTTTTATATAAATATACAAACAATTTCAGCCCTTTCTACATAGTATTAATAAATAAAAAAACATCAGAAGCTATGCCTTTGCCACCAGTGACTACTTAATTTTCATTTCTACTGTGTCAGCCAACTGTAAGCTACCATTGCATTTAAAAATACGTTTGAGAGAAAATGCTTATTGAACAGCATGCACAATATTTTACACAACTTTATTTTAATGATTTAATCTAATCAAAACAATTGATGGAAAAAATTGTGAATGACATCTTGCAGACATGGTAACTGGATTCTGCCATGTCAATCATGTCTTCCATTAAAATTGAGTGGGGCTATAACATGCCTAGTTCCATAAAAAGGATTATGTGATTTTATTTATATACATTTTAATGTAAAGCTGTAATGCACAATTCTCACGCCGCTTGAGGCCCTACAAATGGAGCCTGGGCATGGAGGATATCATAGCTCTCTTTGAGCAGGTTTTATGCTCACAGTCATCACTGAAACACAGATACACAAGATCTCAGTCTCAGTCTGAGTGATGAACTATTGATTTTATGATGTCTGGTTGTGGTAAACAAGGAGGTACAGTTCGGGCTAAGGCCAAGACCTGATTATCCCGGGCTAGTCTGCAATTCCCCATTGGTTGTGTTCAGCATCTGCTCAGGGAAGGAAACTATGTTGAGTGGGTCGGAGCCAGAGCTTACGTCTATCTGGCCGCCGTCCTGGAGTATCTGATGACTGAGATCCTTGGTCTGCCTGCCAACAAGAAGACCCATATCATCCCCCGACACCTCCAGCTGGCAGTTTGCAATGACAAGAAGCTCAAAAAACTGCAGGGTGACATCACCATCACCCAGGGATGAGCACTGCGCAACATCCAGGCCATGTTACTGCCCAAGAAGACCAAGAGCCACAAGTCTGCCAAGGCCAAGTAATCTGGATCCATTATTTTCTATTACGCAACACTAGAACATCTAGAACACAACACTAGAACATCTAGAAGTTCTATATGATGCTTCTGGATGCCAGTTGCCGCCCTGTGACCTCTAGCCAAGGAGCTCTAGGAGCCCTGTGTCACTAATGAGTATTTATAGGCATGTAAGTGTAATCTATCCCGGATAATAGACACCTTTATGTGGAATCAGAGACCTGAGAACATAAGATCAGTTGCTGTTAAACTCCCACTTAGCAAATGCTCCAGAACCCCTTTTACCCAGGTGCTGACACAACAGTGGAATGTAATAGCTGCAAGACAGGGGTCAACACACATAAACCCTTTGAAACACTGTTACATTATCACAATAACATTTTCTCTCCTCTGCTGCTTTTAATAAGCAAATTGTACAATGACTTTATTGGTTATTTTTACTGTATGACTATTAAAACAGGAAATACCTTACGAATGGGGACTTTCCTGCTTGGACCAAGAACCACAGTTCAACACTGATCTAAAAATTATTGTGCTATATCTTGTGTGTACCTCTAAGTATTCTGTATAATTTCTTTCCAAAATATACCTAACTATAACCTGCTACACCAAATGTAATGTAATATATACAGTAAACACATACTGTATTTTCATTTAAACTGTGCTGATGAGAAAGTTCATTAGTCTTTTTTCAGATGAACATTTATTTACAACTTTGCTATTATACCAATATCATATCAATATATGCTATTCATATGTTATATGAATCAATATGTCACCGTCTTGCACTTTTAGGGCTGGTATTATTCCATTGTAGAAAATAATTTATCATTTTAAATGAGACTAATGAGTTTTTGCAATACTAAGGAAATATGTTCTTCTTTGAAAAACATATGGTAAACATTCAAGAAATATATTTATCCATCAGATAAAAAAATAATTTGGTAGAGAAGAAAAATCAGGTCGGCCGCACTTCCAATAAAATCTCCATTATTTGGATAAATTCAAAATAGACACTCCACAATGTACAAAAGAGACAACATAGCACTCCAGCTAATGCGTTTCACACTGCCATCGGCGCTTAATCATAGCTTATACTGAAATTATCACACAATATATATATATACACACATACATGCACAGCTGCTCCTAATGGTTTCTTGATTGTAAGCAATCTTATGTGAAACAACGAAACACAGGTACCGACAATTGTCGGTAATCGGCTGTGTCTCTGAGCCCCAAAAAAACAGAATAAAATCCTATAATACCAACAAAACAGTATAAAGAATTTCAAGTAAGTAAATCATGTAAATGAACTACATGAACGCACTGCATAGGAATATGGAATACCATTATTCATGTATATTCATAACTTACTATAGGCCCATACCATAATACCCTGAATGGATGTTAGCACACCAATAAAACTAACTACTATACAATATACTGTATATATATATGTATTATTTTTTTTTTTCTGTTTTTGTTAGTGTTTTTCTTTCCTTGTTTGTTTTATTGGTGTGCTGACACCCATTAAAGGTATTATGGTATGGGCATATGGTAAATTATGAATATACATGAATAATGGTATCCCATATTCCCATGAGCAGCTAGTTCTTCCTTCCTGTCACACACACAAAGCCATTGGGAGTAAGAGGAGAGCTAGGCCCCAATCTCAGTCATTGTTTATGCAGGCCATAGACGGGTCGAAAATCGGCCGATTTTTGAGCCGTCTATGGCCTGCATAACATTGACTGAGATTGGGGCCTAGCTCTCCTCTTACTCACGATTTTTTGCACCATTAGTGGGTTAATTGGTTGGCCGTTTCTCAGGCTTTTGGCACATTTTTTTATTGGTAAAGTTGGAAAAAAATCGGCCAATTTTTGCCGATCGGCCGATTTTCCCAGCAATGATGGGCAAATCTGCCGATCGTTTTACCAATAAAAAATCTGTGCATGAGCCGTGACCTGCAAGAAGAAGAAAAAGAAGAAGAAGAAGTAAAAGAAGAGGAAGAAGAAGAAAAAGAAGAATTCCAGTCCGCTATTATATTTGACATGAAAAAGTATTGCGGTTGCAACAATGTATCTATTTGTATCCAAATAAAACAACCATCTGTATCTGAAATGGGTACAAAGAGATACATTGTTGCAACCGCAACTTTTTTCATGTCAAATATAATAGTGGAGCTCTCTGCAAGGGACAAAAGTAAATTAAATGTCAGCTCTAGACGGGATGAAAATTGGCTGATTTTTTTTACCATTGGTGGTAACGTCGGCCTATTGAACAACTAATTTTTCATTTTTCTTTTTAAAAATGGACAGTTTTCGACCCGTCTATGGCCTGCATTAGTGTACAAACAAACCCCTGCCTGATCATAGCGCCCTTCCCGATTACAGTGCCCCTACCTGATTACAGTGCCCCTGCCTAATCACAGTACCCCTGCCTGATCATAGTGTCCAACCTGTTCATAGTACCTCTGCTTGATCACATTGCTCTACCTGATTACAGCCAGCACTTGATTACAGCCAAGGCAACATTACAGTCAGTGCTTGATTACAGCCAATGTTTGATTACAGCCAGCACCAAACTGCATCCAGCTCAGATTTACAGCAAGTGCAAGATCACTGCTAGTGCTTGATTTCAACCACTCCCATATTACAGCCAGCACTATATTACAACTAGTGCCACATTACAAACTTAACAGATCTCAACATGTAACTGCAAATGGAATGCAAATAAGGAATTCTGTAGATCAGCATCATACGAGGCAATCAAAAAGTAAGATATTTTTTTTTTTCTTCACCACTACACTCAGGACCAACATTTACCCATACACAAACCTAACAATTTTCCCCTCCTATTGCTTTTCTTTTTCTTTTTTCGAATGCACCCCACTCTTCTGCCATTCTCTCCTTCCCTCCACCCCCACTCTATAATACTGTTTCTTCTGCTCAGCACCAGGCTCAATGTAGTCAATATAGTGAGGTATCATGGACCAGAAGGTTCAAAATGATTTAGTTAGACTTCTTTTCTTTTTTTCTTTCCCTACTGCCTTTACATTACTTAATTATATTCTACCAAGTTTCTCTCACCTCCCTCCTCCCCACTCCCCACAAGACACTGTGGAGTTTATTTACTAAGCGAGTGTGCAAAATAAGGTTTACTTCTGCATACAAACCAATCAGATTCCAGGTTTTACTGACAAAGCTTAACTGAACAAGCTGAGGTTAGAAGCTGATTGGCTACCATGCACAGCTGCACCAGATTCTGTGTGAACCAGCTTTAGTAAAATCTCTCCCTGTGCACTATTACTGTGTGGACTTTCAAGACTTGAATATCATCAGTTCACCCCTTTTATTTTCTGTGGGGGGGGCTTTAGTACAACCAGCAAAATGTTACATGGGTAGTGTTTATTTTTTCGCACAGTTCAAACATGACAGTTTGATCTGTATCATGTTCAGTCTTTGCAAATCCTGATGTACGATTTGCTTATACATAAGAGTTGATTTACTAAAACTGAAGAATGCAAAATCTGGTGCAGCTCTGCATAGATACTAATCAGATTCCTGTTTTTCTTTTTAAAGATTAAATTGGATAAGCTGAAGTTAGAAGCTGATTGGCTACCATGCACCAATGCACCAGGTTTTGCACTCTTCAGTTGTAGTAAATCAACCCCACACTGTCTCTGTTACATTATTTTGTGACGGATGGAGATGTAATTGCATTATTGTTAAAAAATAAAAACTAAATACAAAAATAAAATAAAAACAATTGTATTGTTGATTCTCTTTCTGCTAAGGATATTCTCCCTTGTATTCTGTCCCATGACCCAACACAACAGAAATTGAAGAATGATCTCCCCATGATGCCTCCCCTTGAAAAAAAAACTGACAATTTTTCAATTTTAGCAATTTTGCATTCATTGCTGCTTGTGTCCCTTTCAGAGAGATAACCCTGAATTCTGTTCCCATTTGGTACAGCATAGAAGTGATACTGATGAAGTGTAAGTGCCATCTTAATTCTAGGATTTGGCTTTTGGCTCACTGAGAAGCAAACAAGAACACTTCCAAGCAGAGCCAAGTTAGTTAAATTTAGTCCTGGAAACACAGCATACTGTATGCCTAAATGGCATAAGCACTAGGCATCATGCCCATCATTTTTTACAACATAAAAGATACATTGTTTACTTGTACAGGATTTAACTTTAGGTCTAATTTAAGAATTCATTAAGAAGGTGCACAGATCATAGATTTTATTTTGGTATTTCCTCTTAAAAATAACATTTCTTTACATTTAATCAAACATGGATCTTAAAACAACTGTCAAATGACTACAACGTATACCTTTCACTTCCACTCAAAATAAGTTATTGAATGCTTATAATAGTCTTTCTAGCTAGTTAGAATGTTATTCACAGGGATAATTGAAGTATCACTTCAAAATTCTATGGGAACAATTTTCTATTAAAAACTGTGATCAATACTTGGCAGCAGAGAATACTCTGAAGATCAGAAGGCAAATAGTAAGCAATAAATAGCATAAAAATTAGAAAGACCCAGTGGCAAAATCTTAAGAGCAGTATTTAAGCAAATTTTAAAAAAAACTATGCAATTGTGTATCATACTAAACTTGGATTTTGAGATTATTGAGTTAAACAAAACACAATTACCTGATCTTGTCATTTACATGGACTAAACTTTCACTTAAATAATCTTTGTTGTTTATTATACACATTTTGATTATTAACAATGGATTTCACAAAAATAACAATGCATTATTTGGGGATGAAAATATAATGCTTAATAAGATCATAAAAATAATGATGTACATCATAAGGTGTAAGCATGTGTCTTTTGTGTTTGGTATTAACGTTTTGATTACTTTCTATATATATAAGTATAAATTTTTGCTAATTATTTTAGACAGTGAGCATGT